GACATCCGGTCATATGGGAGCATTTCAAGAGGTGTACGGAGGGGTGGCCAATCCGCAGCGCAAGGCACCCACCCCCGACCATCCTGAGGCTTTGGAAGTTGGTTTAGTTGCGGAGCTTTCGTCGTCCTTCTGGACAACACCTTCAAGCCAATGTTCTTTCACTGTTTAATTCTAGTAGTTTCATCAGAGTAATAATTTAATCCGAATTTTCAATGGGACTTGGAAAAGCACAGGTCTAAATCCTATAGAATCCAGCTACCAGAATAATTCGATAACATTGGAATCATTGTGGAGAATTTCAGAAATCACAAGAAACGCTTCATATTTAGTGAAATTGAAATTTCCCGATTAAGAATGGTGGATTAAAACAGAGTTTAACCTAGTCCCAACATCACCCTCAACTCCATGAAATGACACAACACAAATGCGATAGTAATCCTCATTACGTAAACACATGCTGTTTTATAAGTTTTACACTCATTAAGTCCGGAAATCCTTATACGGTTTGTTGTATTTACCAATCTAGCCACTTGACAAGGTGAAATTATCTCATGTTGAAGGACCATACAAGCTGATATTTAGACAGACCTCTTTGTATTGAATAAAGAAAAGACTATTTCGTCTTGTTTTACATTCATTGAGATAAAAAGCTTTTCTTTATACTAATCAAACAAGCCCTGGATGCAAAACTCCGACCGGAACAAGCTGAATTCAGGAGAAACAAGTCATGTATTGATCAAATCGCCACACTGCGGATCATCATTGAACAAAGCTTGGAATGGCAGTCACCTCTCTATCTCACTCAACTTCATCGACTTTGAGAGGGCATTCGACAGCGTCGATCAAGAGGTGATTTGGCAACTACTTCACTACTACGGGGTGCCATCGACAATTATACATCTCATCCAACAGTTATTCGACAATGCTGCATGCCAAGTAATGCACAACGGGAAACTTACTTAAGCTTTCGAAGTAAGGAAGAGAGTGAGGCAAGGCTGTCTACTATCGCCAATGATTTTCCTGATTGTAATAGATTGGATAATGCGACAGACATCGGGCAATGAGGAAACAGGCATAAAATGAAACCACACAAAAAACTTGGAGGATCTGGACTTCGTCGATGATATATGTCTGATTTCCCACAAACTGGAAGATGTGCATGTGAAAAGCAACAAGTTGGCAGAAGAAGCATCCAGAGAAGATAGGACTTCAGGTGAACATAGATAAAACAGAGGTGATGAAGATTCTTGGCCAACACCAACACCAACAGACCACAATAAGCATAAATGGGAAGAACCTGAAAGAAACAACCTCCTTTACCCACCTACCTGGGAAGCATCGTTTCAACTACAGGCGGAACTGACGAGGATATCAAAGCCAGAATCGGAAAAGCAAGACAAGCTTTCATTACTCTCAAGTCTGTGTGGAAGTCAACAGCACTCACCATCAAAAATAAGATCCGGATTTTCAACTCCAATGTGAAGTCAGTGCTACTTACTATACGGATCAGAGACTTGGCGCGTCATAAAGAGCATCTCAAACAAACTTCAGACCTTCATTAACAGTTGTCTTCGCTCAATACTCAAGATCAGATGGCCGGCCAGAAAAGATCAGTCATAAAGATCTCTGGCAATGAGTGAACCAACACAGCAGGAACCGATTGCGAAACAAATAGGCAGGAAGAAATGGAGATGGATTGGCTGGCCATACTCTGAGGACACTAACCATCAAGTGACATCACTAGACAAGCCATTGCTCGAGTGGAACCCGAAAGGGAAGCGGCGAGTTGGTCGTCAGTGTGTGGGTGACTTGGAGTAGGTCATGTGAAGAGGAGATGAAAGCATGTGGGCAGACTTGGAGTGGGGTGAAAAAGTTGGCAGAAAACAGAAGGCAATGGAGGTGCGCAGCTGAAGCCCTATGTTCCTCTAGGAATTAAAGGATAAAATAATAATTTATTCGTGAATGCTGTGAACACTAAGATCAGTAGAAATCCACTTCATCATATCCACATGGTAAATCAGTACAAATTTCAGAATAAATATTACTGAAGACAGTTTATTTTCCCTACGGTGGTTTATCCTCTTATTCTCCGCTGAGTACTTAAACAAACACCTCTGACTTTCACTTAGAATTAAACATCTTAGAATTTAGGGACTTGGCGATTGACTACCATGAATGAAAGCAAACCGGACGAAATGACTCACATATATCTGTATCGAAATTCGCACAATATTAATAGCATAATTACGAAAGCTATGCCTTGGGGAAGAGAAGAATTGTGATGAGACTCTACACTGGATGGTAAAGTATGGGAGGAACAGAAATCAGCACCTTTCAGAATCTAGATTATAAGACGTGGACACACTAATATGCACAAACTAATTACTTCGGCATATATGCAGAATGGGAAAGCTAGTAGCATCTCACCATTTTCTTCGGGCTCAGGTATGTGTGGATGCATTTCGCGTCCGCGCTATTGCACCACTCATTTTTGCATACCCTAGGGCACCTGTAGCTCATTATTTCAGATACCTAACATTCATATATATATATATATATATATATATATATAACCTGTCGCACATTACTAGTTGGCTACATCAGCAGTGTTAACTGCTCTCAGTATGCTACATTCACTACTCATCTCAAGCAAAAGCCAATTTTATCCGATACCATCCATATGCAAACCGCCCAAATTATCACTTTGTTGATGAACCTCAGGCTGTGTTAAACCTTAATTCAAAACATAACTTCACACCTTCGTGGTAGAGAACTAATCAGTGTACTTTAGGGCGCAGTATTTCAGGATTCATACTAAGTAATTCCACTATAAACACATCGCTTACCTACTGATACAGTTCCTTTAAATAAGTTTTCATGAAACTTGATAAACATATCTGACTAGAATCTATAAACAAATTGCATGCAGTTTTCTGGAACAAATGCGTCTATCATATTCGATATTTACATAGAAATTCGATTTTAATGGGAGCTTAGAATGCCCCAAAAAGGATGTAGATGTGGTTGCTCGCAGTTCAACATGAAATTTACCACTTATTTGTCACACATTCCAGACACTTGGCTAACAGGTATTTAAACGAAATTCAATTTATTTTAGAACAAACGAATGGAAACAACTCACTTCATCTCCAGCTGCTAAATTAATTTAGCGAGTAGGTTTGTTTATCCTTATGACCTATTATATATATATATATATATATATATGCTGGTTTCATTGAAACTTAAATGTCGGTCTGAAAGTAGTAGAGCAATCGCAATATCACTAAGTGATTCTATGTTTGAAGACTAAGCTTACTTTTAACTGCACCGACAAAAAACGACTGCTTATTTTTCAATGATACGCGATATATCCGCGAATGTCACTTTCCTATTTCAAAAGGATTCAGGAATGACCAGCTTACTGAGACAACCGAATTATATCGCCATTCAGGACACAGGAACACAATACTTAAGCCTGTTTGACACTGGGCTACCTTTTCCTGCATCTACATATTGCATCTAATACACCATGTTTTCATTCTTAATTTTAACAAAATATGATTATAAATCGTATAAAATACAGTAATGAATTCATTAAACGTTTTAAACCATATGACTTTCATGCATCTAATAAAACTAAGAGAAAACATCACGGTGGCTGGCAACGTGCTCTTAAACAGACACCTTTATATCACACAACTATTCCTGTTATTGTCAGTTCAAACTGCCGTTCACTTCTCAACAAAACTATGCATCTCCCGTCCCTCTTATCATCTGATACTTAACACAATACGGCAAAAGTTGCATGACAAGAAAGATGGCTCCATGAATTTTACGATGACAACCTGGTTTCACTAAACTGTTTCACATTGTTTAGACAAGATCGACTATGCTCCAGAAAGAAAAGAGGTGGAGGTGTGCGTCGGTGGCACAGTGGTTAGGACTCTCGCCGACCATGCACATGGTCCGGGGTTCGAGCCCACGCCGACGCACATCTGATATCTACGGTCGGCCGGCGAAATTTGGTCTACTTGTACCAAAAATACAGTGTGGAATCAAGCTGTAATCAAAAAATAAATAAAACTTTCATTCATTCTCAATGGTCAACTTCAAATAATGTTTTTCTTTCTCTAGTAACTTTATCGATTGTATAACAGTCAAATGTCATCCGAAACACTTATCCAAGTTTAAATACGTATTCATCTCAAACATTTATGTTACTCCTGGCTGTTCTGCCTCGGATCTATCTGATTTTGCTGATGTATTCACTGAATTCGCCGTTACACATCTCGAAAACTCTTTATCAGCTGTCACAGGAGATTTCAACTCCTGCGATTGTTCTTTTCTTGAATCATTAGGTCATGTCAATATTGTTAAATTTCCTACTCGACTTGATAAAACTCTGGATCTAGAATTTATTATTGATGAAAAAATATATGAAGCACGCAGATGTGAACTCTGATCATTGTATTATTCGGATATTACCAAAGATATATAGCAGATCTCACTCTAATATCCTCTTAGATCTGTCCAGGAATAGCGATATGTGAGTAAACTTACGTAGTCATTCTCTCGTTTCTGTACTAATATACTAGGACAGCCTCCTGACCTGTCATCTACAGGAATAAGCATGACCATTAGGAAAGGTTTAATTTCAACTACAGGAGTTACGTTAATACTGGTTGGCAACATACTTTATAGCTGCTATCTATAGCGGTGTCACAGATGCAGTTATTCTTCATTTGTACTCAGACAGTTATATTAAATACATTTGGCTACCTGATCCTCTTTCCTTTTTACTATAAGGATTCTAGAATAAATCCATACTGCTATTTAAATCCCCTCTTTGACATATTTAAACCTGGTTTGACACACTGTCAAAGACTTCGTCCTTACATAGACTTCCGAAGTATCGTATTGAAAAATTTGTTTTCAATCACGAGTGAAGTTAACACAGTGGTGATAATTTCTCTGAAATCGAACGACACACCTACTAATATGATTTAAAGACCATTCGGTATATTTGAAAAAAAAACTGAATTCTACTTTACTCAGATACATTAAAATGTAAGCGTAAAACTGCATGTAAAGGACAATTAAAACCACAAATACATTGGTTTACATGAGATTTAGGAACTTATATACGAACAGGTGGAGGAATCAGAAAACAGCAAAAGAAACAATAAGTCAAAACTAAAATACAAAATCAGAAATATGCTTTTCTTTCTTAGTCTGATCCTTTTCATCAACATATACGCTTACAACGGATATTGTTTGACCGATAGTCCCTGAAGCTCCACAAAGCTCAGCAACACTGCGCATTCCATCCTTCATTTGCTCCATTCCATAAGAGAGTCCCGCACGCATACGTTGTGCAGCAGCAGAGCTTTGACTGCGAAGAGACGCGACACTTTTTGCGGACTTAGCTCTTAATCCTTGAAACTCACCACGCAAAACTTTGACTCCATGGCCGACATCATGGCAAAGCCTACTACGAAAATCTTCAAGTTTCTCGCGGAAATGTGCAGGGTCAGGATTTTCAACAGCCTGAGCTAAGCCGGCTAGAGCTTCACGATATTCTTGCGCAAGCTTTTCATTAGACACAACCAACTTGACATCGGCACTGCCTGGACGTGGAAGGTAAGGAACACAAGCAGAGTTATCCATATATGGAGCTGAACTAGGGCAACGGAAAGAGACCAGATCATTCATGTCAAGTCTAACCCTGACCACACAGTTTCCAGACCTCACACACACTTCATAATTAAAGACTTTAGCAACAGGGTGTTTGAAGGTAGCCTCACTTCTACTAGAATTAACTTTAGAACCATCCATAAGTGGTTGTTGTGTCTCATGGGACTCAAGCTTATATTGTTCTGAAATTGGTTCTAGTAGTCTGTCTGAGGTATTAAGTTCCATATCCAGATCACTAGAATCCATTAGCATTATCTCACCATCAGGAGCTATTCTGCCCACAGGCACGTCCCCAGCTGCAATTAACAAACCAGAATCTTCGATTTCTTGAATTTTTTCCACAAAGTGAACTGTTTTACATAAATTACAGCGCCATCGACTGTTCGGACCAAAATAGTCAATATATTTGCTAAACACAGGTGAGTTTCCAAGCGGAATATCAAAACTCTTATCACAATCATTAGATTTTCGCTGATTTTCTTCACCATCAACTTCAGGAACTGGAATTACACCGACATATGTTTTCCCCTTGAAAGCACACGATGGTTGCGGACGTCTGAGACAGTGAGTTTCGCTACAGTATCTGATAGTACCACCAATTATACCCACCAACAGTAATAAAACCATCCCACCATATCCATAACAAAGAGAAATATAATAAATTTGTGCGTGATACAAACTAGATATGACTTGTAGTTCAATCGAAGGAGAGTGGGAAGTCGCTTCAGAAGAGTAGGCTACACATGACCATTTACCTGTTAAGTGTCCTCTCGTATTTTCGATTGTTAGTGTACTTATCATTTCATTAACATGCACAACATGAAAGACCGTAGCAGCTAAAATTGGCTGGACGACATAAGAAAGAGAAAATGCATCCGCTTCCCAATCAGTGTTAGAAGGAGGAATAATACCTACCGGAGAAACCCAGAAAAGTATGTACGGTAAATCAGATTTTACTTCGCAGACAAAAGAAATATGTTGACCTGTCAAAACTAAGACAGAAGAGTTGACACTTGAAGATATCATATCAGACCCACTTGAATTGGCATAGAAATCAGTTTCAAGAGTAGGTGTACAAGGGGATGGCCATGGATGGCAAACTGGAAGACCTTCAAAGTTCCCTTTTAATAACAATTTTGCATTGACACAGGAGCAAGTAATACGATTGTTGTCTACATATACGGTCAATGAATATGGGACACTTGGTAGAGTGCTAACAAGATTATGTGATAAGTTTACCGAGATAATATTTCTTGAGTATTGGAGAAGATCAATAGGTAAGACACGTAATTTGTTATGACTAAGGTCGACTGTCCTGAGTTTGTCTAATCCATGAAGCATGCCCAGAGGCGGCAACGACTCCAAATTGCAATTAGAAATGGTCAGAGATACTAGACTGGAAGAGATATCGTTGCGGAAATTTTTCCGAGATATTTCCAAACGGCCAACATCAATTCTCAGTTGCTGAAGATTTGGTAAAACTGAACTTTTATAAAATCCATACGACAGGACTCGAAGATATGTAAGGTCTCTACTTGAGACATAAAGATTAGACGTATTTTCGGGACATAGTTTTAGTAAATCTTCATTTAATAATAGGTCAGAAGAACCCAGCAATAGCTCAGCACTTGAGCCGCTTGTAGGCAAACAGGTAGTTTGTTCACAAAGCAGCTTATGAAAAATCAGGACAAAAATTAATAAAATCCAGGATATCAGGTAGCAACCATAACTCATTACATAAACAACCAATTCAAGGTCAACAGTCCGTACATATTTGAATGTGAGACCATGTCGAAATTCGATAGCCAATTTCCTAATCACTAGTCGACTGGACTTTCCGCCATGTTGGCTGAAATTTTACCCAGTCAACTTTTTGCGAATAAGTTTTAATAAAATTGTATTATATGTTTTCTCGGTTGATAGGAATTCTAATTTTCTGACAAGACATGTTGGTGTCCGTGACATGTGATCTGACTGCTGCACACTCTTCGCATACTGATGGCGAAGATTAGTGTTTCAGGTAGACCGTGTCAAAATGCAGCTACAGTAAGCAAGATGGGATAGTTGGAGGGTAACGTCATTTACACAGATATTCTAATTTATGTAGACATTTGTAATTCAATGAGGACTTCATGTCTCAGAATTTCTCTGCAGCCTATTTTCGTGTGAAGAACAGTACTATTTGACAAATGAATGCCATCAGTACATGGAAGTTACCTACAAGGCTGAAAGCAGCCCCTATGGGAATAGAGGTTACAATGGGGTATAATTCTCACCGTATGTTTGTTTGGACAGGAACTATCGTCAGTTGAAAGGTAATCTACAAGTGTATATCATATGTATTTGCAGTGATTGCTCGAATTTAATATAGGTTTTGGGGACTCAGTGTACAAAAATTATCCCGACTTCATTAATATTGCGCTACTGTCTGCTTAGCTAAATGATAGCCTAAATGATGTAGGCGGTTCTCACAAAAAAATTGCTGCAAATGCAGTGCAGTGGAGAATTCAATCACTCGTTTAACTTTCCTCATTGTTTCACTAAGTGCATTGATTTAATGGATGGTATTACTATACACATGGATTGTGTTCATTATCAATCTACTGTGTTATGCCATTTCCACTCACCTTGGATACTTAATGCTTCGAAATTAATCATCATCAACCTCTGCTTTCACAATTTGTCAACTCTCGTATCTTACCTATCCCACTTTACTGCTCCCCATTAGTCTTTCCTGGGCTACTGAAAAAGGGCTATACCATCCTGAGAAGGATGTTTAAGGTAGTGAGTAGGACTAGTGGTGTAAAACTCAGTCAGCTCGTCACTACATTAGGAGATAAGCATCTGAATACATGCGAGAAATGGTCTAAAACCATACTATCTTACCCCCATCACCACTTCTATTCCCAGCTCTCTCCTTGCATCTCATCAGGTAGAACCGGAAATCAGTACAAAATAATACATGCTCGTACAACCAAGTATAGGAACTCAATGATACCATATATAAGTGACAGAGACAATGTTAAGCACGAAACCTATGACTTGCTTGTTGTTAATAACATAATTTTGGCCCTTTTTATTTCTCCCTTATACTCTCTTATTTGTACTCTATAGTGAACAACCTTCTTAAACATACTTAACTACTTAAAATTATTATCATTGGCCTACTTTTATTCTTTATTCTACTTCTTTTGTGTATCTACTGGGTCCGACTATATTAGCACTATGAGTATTAAAAAATTATCCTGTCAATAACCTGCATGTAATATTAGATTTGTGATTGTGCTCTTTTGTTCGGCAATATTAAAACTGATAATCTTGGTTGTGAACGCCGTTATCATCATCCAAAATTTTCTGTATTATGCAAGATTACTCACACTACCACAACAAACACCGCATTAGTGCTGAAAATAAAAAAATTGAAATGTTTATTTTATGATTGTTTAGTGTGATTCAATCAAATTAACTGATCATCATGGCTATAAACATTCTTAAGAACATCTCATAATTTTTTGTATGATTACAGCTGTTACTGTTCACCACGCATACACATATCATAGCTTCCACTACCCAATACTCAAATATTTTTCATTATTGGTGCTTATCTTCCTTTCTACTTGGTATTTTTATTCGCATTTTTTTCTTATTTTTGTGTTTTTTTTGCGTTTTTTATATTTATTTCTTTTGTAATACTCCTTTTAAATGTGCGGTGAAATTAGATGCAGTATTGTAGATGTGTGCTGAAAATTCCGCACTGTACCACAAGTACTGTTTCTGGAATAAAAGCAAAATTATTTTTATTATCACCAATAGTGAAGATGACTTTCTCGTGAAATTTCTACTTACAGAAAGTAGTAAAGATGTAGCATCACGATGGAATTTCTAGGTCACACAGTTATCCTCATCGGCACAATACGTCCGTGTATCTTTGAATATTTCAAGTATTCCTCGATATTAATAACACTGCGCCTAATTATCTAGAGCTGAGACCTGTGTACCCCAAATATGATATCTCGGTACGGTTTCTAGCATTTAATAAAAAATAACGTGCCCAAATGACCCCGTTTTACTCCCGCTTATTTTGTTCTTCTTGCTACAGAGAGCTTATCACGCAGCATATTAACCCTAAATGTAAAATATATGCAAGCGAAGTGAATACGAGATAGATACAATAATCACAATGCTTGTAATGCTCGAATACTCAATAAAGTATGTTTAGACTACGGTCTGACCAGTCACACAAGGTCTATTAAATCTAGATACAATCAATGTACACTGCTTAGTTCTATGATGCACTAACTAAAGTTGTGTAGATACGTTAAAGTAGTTTCCTTTAGAGGTAATCACCTGTAGCTGGTATCTTAGTGACAACTTAAAGTTAGCTGATCAGTAGATATGGTGAAGGTCACTAAGGTGAATCGCCCCATTCTGCGGGAACAGCAATATACAATTTGATGGCTCGAGATATTTCTGATATTTATGAGGGCTTAGATCTTTATCTTGAAAAACATAATAATGAACGCCTAGACAGATCATGCTTCTGCCTTTAAATATATGCCATTCGCTCAGCCTATTATTGAGATGCGACCACGTGGGCTCTGCATAGATTTATGGGGCATCTCATGAATTAACTTGCTGTCCATTGTCAGGTCTGTGAATACCACTTCACAATGTCTCATCTCATCTATTTCTAATAACTTCTTTACTTGATCCTCATGACATCCCATCAAACATAACATTTTATAGCTCTATATGAATTCGATTAGACTCATTCTATTCCTATTCTCTGTAGGGTACGGTTGTTCACCAAATGCACAAAATGTTATAAAATAAAAAACCGGCATGAGAATAAATGTATTTAAACCAAAAGTGGACATCATGATAGTAAGACATATATGGGTAGCATGGTACATTGCAAATGAACGTTGTCAGCCTAGGGATTTTCCTTTATAAATGCATTTATTAATGATACTTGCAGTTACTCATTTCATTACACTTTAATGATTCACCTCAGCACTTTTACTTTTCTAAAACATATTTCAATCCCATGTAATCGTTGTACTTACCTGAATATTGGCTGGTTATCGTATGCCTACAATCACAGGTTGAAAACGAAGCGAAGTCGATTTTCCCGCGAAACCTGGAGGACAACTGTACAATTCAAAAGCTTTACGGCCTGGTGCAGACAATAGGTGTATTTGTATATATGTATCAAATATTTATCTGTTTAAGCATTATTAACTTATAGACAATCTACGATTTGATATGATATCATACTTGATCGTGCCTGTAAAAATGGCATGCATTTTCATGTAAATTTACGTTTATATGAAGATATACATTATTATTATCTTTAAGTTACCCAGTGAAAGTGGACATACTCAGAAGTTTCTTGATAAAAATATCGTCATCTTATCAAAGAAAGTAAATATACCCCGGCCTTCACAAAAGCGTTTACAGGTATTTACCCTGTCACCAAAACACCTCAACTGATTCACTATTCTCAGTCAATTGCAAAGTAAGCGTAAATCTACCGAAAACAGTATGGTTCTGATTTACAGATGTCATGATGCATATGAAGTAAAAACTATAGCCGTAGTGTTATCGATGTTAGACACACAAAATTCATACAAAGCATATAGACCAGGTTTCTCAGCCACAAATCATGCTACTTTGCTATATATTCGTCTAATCTTGTCAAAAAATGTTTCCAAAATTAAGGTAAGAAAACTAAGATCACTGGTTTAGTTAAGATTTATTAGGTTTTCCCAAAAATCATGACTGTCTCGTAGTTATAGCCACCGAGAGATTACAAATATCAAGAAGTGGGAATTTAATTCTTTGGGCTTAAACAACAAGTCGGTATTCCGCCAGCGTTTTCACTCCGAATAATAATCAGATTTCCGCTTGTTGCTCAATTCGGCCAATGTCAGTCAGACTATCGCTCAAGTCTTAATTCTAGTGATTGCATTTAACGGTAATAGTTTTCCTGCAGATTTCGTTGCTGCCACTACATTTCCACTAATGGATTTTCTATTGTTGTTCCGACTCATTTATATCTCATTTACTTGATTACGAAGGGTGTCAATGCAGTTGAAGATTGAACGATCAGTTCACGGTTGTTTGCTCAAACCCAACTTCCCCAATTTTCGCGGAGGCATCAATACGACAGTCATCGTCTCATCGGTCGCTTTTCAGAAAGAAGAGTGAAACATCGTCAGAAGTAATACTATGATTTATTATTGTAATATTTGTTCACAGGCCTTAGTTCAGTTATTATTTTTATATGTTGGTGTAACAATAAAGAAATCTCAAGCGGCCAATCGGTCTTTTGGTTTTTTCGTCCGTTATGGCTAAGCGTTTCTGAAAACTTCAAGGAATAGCGTGGGCCCGAGCGTAGCAAGAGCTGGGCATTAACGGTTTATGAGACGTGATTGACAGTTTCTGACGATAGAAACAGACCTGGCGGATTCAGACAGTTGGTGAAAGTTTGGATAGTCGCCGTTCATCTTTCCTGGTGCCGGTCAAGTCCTCTTCGAACAAGCAATATCTGGAACGTTTTGGAATTGGGTCAAGTTCAACAATGCCTGGGTCAAAGAAGGGACAGAGTGTCTTGGATGCAAACAGGAAAGTAAGTCATGGTGACTTGTCTGTTACTTGTAACGATGTGTCTGATGTTAAGCATGATATGGTTGATGTTACTGTTTCGCCGTTCAGGGATAATAGGAACATCAAACTCCCTAAATTTGAACCACGGTGTTTCGATGGAAACCCGGCTGATTATTTACAATTTGTGAAGGCGTTTGAGATCATGTTGAGTAGTTTTCTATCAAGTGATGAA